GGTCGTGCATCCATCCAGAGGGACCCCGACAGGCTGGAGAAATGGGCTGGCAGGAACCTTACGAACTTCAACCAGGGGAAGTGCAAAGTCCTGCCCCTGGGGAGGAACAACCCCAGGCACCAGGACATGCTGGGGGCCACCTGGCTGGAAAGCAGCTCTGCAGAAAAGGCCCTGGGGGTGCTGGTGGACACCACGTTGACCATGAGTTCAGCGTGTCCTTGGGGCAAAGAAGATGAATGGTGTCCTGGGCTGCATCAGGAGTGTCGTCAGCAGGTCAAGGGATGTCGAGGAGGCACTGGTGAGGCCACCCCTGGAGTGCTGTGCCCAGTGCAGGGCTCCCAAGAGCGAGTCCAATAGACATGGACATACTGGAGGGAGTCCAACGAAGGGCCACAAAGATGGTGGACTGGAGCATCTTTCACATGAGGAGAGGCTGCGAGAGCTGGGACTGTCCAGCCGGGAGCAGAGGAAGCTCAGGGGGATCTCATCAATCTGCATAAACACCTGGAGGGAGAGTGCAGAGAGGACGGAGCCTGGCTCATTTCACTGGTGCCCAGTGGCAGGACCAGAGGCTGTGGGTTCAAACTGGAACACAGGAGGTTCTCTCTGCACGTCAGGAAACACTTTTTCCCTGTGAGGGTGACCGAGCCCCGGCACAGGTTGCCCAGGCAGGTGGTGGAGTCTCCCACCTTGGAGATACTCAAACGCCGTCTGGACGTGGTCCTGGGCAGCTGGCTGCAGGTGGCGCGGCTTGAGCAGGGGGTTGGACTTGATGGACCCCAGAGCTGCCTCCAACCTCAACCAGTCCGAGATCCTGCGATTCCATGACCAGGGGGATGTGCACGTGTGCAGGTGTTTGTGTGCAGCGGTGTGTGTGGTTTGTGTGTGTGCATGCAGGGGTGCACGCTGTTTTGTGCATGCATAGCCGTGTGTGCATTCAGTTGCGTGTGTGTGCAGTCAGGGTGTGCAGTATATGCCTGTGCATGCAGCTGGGTGTATGCGTAGAGCTTTGTGTGCATGCACACACTGTTGCATGCGTGACTGCATGCGCCGGTGTATGTGTGTTTCTGTGCACTGCTGTGTGTGCTGATGTGTCTGGGCGTAGGCACGCTGTGAGCCGTTGGGGGGGGGTAGCTGTGCACAGCTCTGCCTGCCTGTTTGCGGCTGTGTGTGTGTGCAGTTGCACCTGTGCTCTGGTGTGTGGACTGCATATAGCTGTGTGCATGTAGAGCTCTGTGCATGCAGCTGTATGTGCCGGATGGTGCGTGAGCGTGCACGGCTGTGTGCACGTGCAACTGTGTGCCATTGTGTGCATGCACAACAAGACAGCTGTGCACGCACACACCCTGTCCTGCGTGTCACCGTCTGTGCGTGTGTGTTCGTGTTTGCAATGTGTGTGTGTGGAGGGGTGGTGCATTTGCAGTATGTGGGGGGGTTGCAGTCTGTGTGTGCATTCACAGTTTGAGATGGGCGTGTGTTTGCAGTGTGTGGTGTGCACGTGTGCATAGGAGGGCGTGTCTGCAGTGTGCATATGCACGTTCGTGGTGTCGGTGCGTTTGCAGTGTGGGTATTCATGGTGTGTGTGGGGGGGTGCGTGTATGTGCAGGAGGTGTGTGTGTGTGCACAGTGTGGGTGTGAAGGATGTGTGTGTGTGGGGGGGTGTGTGTGCATGGAGCGTTTGCAATGTGTTCATGGTGTGTTTACGATGGGTGTGTGCTGAGGACGTGTGCTTGTGGTGTGTGAGCGTAGTGTGCATATGAGCGCAGTGTGTGTGTGAGTGCAGTGTGTGAGCACTGTGTGTGTGTGAGCGCAGTGTGAGTGCAGTGTGTGAGCACTGTGTGTGTGTGAGCGCAGTGTGAGTGCAGTGTGTGAGCACTGTGTGTGTGTGAG